GAGTAAACCAATACCAGGGTCCACTACCGTCTTGGTATCGAATTGGTCGCATGGTGGCAGCCTATAGTGATGACGGCCTGGGTAGTTACTTACTCAGACAGTCCGTCCTCATTGGTTGAGCGGGCCCCAGCATAAATTCTATTCTCCAAAGATTTGCTGGTTTAGCCAATGTGGTTCCCTGGAGTCCCAAGGACAGCCTGGCCATAGTATGCCCCAGGCCATCACCACCACAGGCAGCCACCGCCCATGCGGATCAGAGAGAGATTTGCTACCATGCGACTAGTTTGATACCAGAGCGGAGGTGGATCCCGATATTAGTTTACTCTTAGCTGGACTTCCTGATGAAAACGCCGGACTTCTCACCAAGGGAGATCCCGAAGGGGGTATGAATCCCCCCGATGTAAATCGCAGCCCGACACCCAAGAGCACCCTTCAGCCACGACGAGATAATAAACCGTTGAGATATATATACATATATATATACATACATATACATATATATATACGCATATAATATACGACTGGTGCGTGTAAAGCAGTGATTACAGCTGTTCTGCAATGCACACGTTGTGATTCGATCCCGTGTTCCGGGCACATTAAGCTCTCCATTCCCCATCGGTTGGTTCCAGACTGGGAGGATAACAGTATCGACTTAATACATCGGTAGGGTACCGCAAGTCAGTGTACATGCCAGATATGCATCCAGTCACCTCTTCCATGCTTAATAATATCGAATCCATGGCACATTCCACCGAGATTGAGTAATGTCGAAGGCCTTATTTTCCCACATATGTGCACCACGGTGTGGAGGGCACGGTAGTTAGATATAGCTTGTAGTACACACATGGCCGTTGCATTGACTATTCCCCGTTCTACCAAGGACAGAAATCGCTTCGGTGGACAAATTTGTACCATAATAGTCTTGTAAAAGGTCGCTTCAATCCACAACAAGCGACTACCATCAGTAGTGTAGCCCTAGAAAAAATCAAGCAGGAAGAGAGAATTCTAGGAAGGTCGATCTCCAGCAGAATTTAACGACATTCATGAAGGACCGCATGTGACGCGGTGGTCGGAGGCGCCCTACAACACACGTGGAATGGATGCCCGAGCTCGTGGGTCACCAAACCTTCCATCCCTCCAGTATCGGCAAATTGGTACCAGACTTGTCTAGGAGGATAACAGCACTGGCTCGATACGTCGCCAGACCAAAGGGAGTCATTGTAATGTCCAGATATGCATTCAATCACCTCCAACGATGATTAATGAAGTCGAAGGCATGGCTCATCCATCAGTGATTGATCAACGCCGAAAAGTTTATCCCTTTTTATAAAGGAGAAAATTCCCACAATTAGCAACCAAATCCCCGTGAGAATCTGTGAACCCGCATGATGAACCGAATAAATGAAGTGCTGGAATCAGCTTGTGTGAAGGCAGCTTGTATAAAGATAAAAAGCGAACATCCAGAACCGTTGAACCACTAATGCTATAGATTCGTCTGTAAGTGATAAATAATCTACTTCATAACTAGTGGATACCGTATTTTAATCATAGAGATCAATTTCCCTAAACAATTTACTAGAAAAGAAATACAGGAGAACCTCAGTTAGATGAGACCAAAGCTGACATCCTTACTTTTAATTTTTTTAAATAAAAAAGGATAAAGCTCTCGGCTTTGATCAATCCCTGAGAGATGAGTCATGCATTTGACATCATTAAGCATCGTTTGGAGGTGATTGAATGCGTATCCGGCCTTTACAATGACTCACAGTGGCCTAGCGATGTATCGAACCAGTGCTGCTATCCCCTCAGACAAGTATGGCACCAATTTGTAGACACCGGAGGGATGGAGGGTTTGATTTGCCTAGGGCGTGCGAATCCATGTGTGTGCTGTAGGGCGCCCACCACTGCGCCACACGCGAACTTAATTTTTTAAGCATTATGAATATGTAGATGAACAAAGAGGTTAACATTAAATAACGAACGAGATATCATGTTTCAAAATCTGAAAGATAAAACCTTTAAAATTTTCTGCACTGGTTATTGAAGCTATTTGTCGAATATTAGCCGCGATGGAACATCGTTATCTTAAGTGTTCTCTTGTTAATCGCCTAGTGAAACAATGCACATAATACTTCCGCATTGAGTCCTTGATCTGATTAAATACAGCGGCAACGACTTGTATAGCACCTGAAATACAAACCATCATTGGTTCGACTCCGGGCTCCAAGGTAACCAAACCCACAGCCTCAGAGTCTGGAAAATAGTACTAGACATTTCTGGGAAGATAAAAACACTAACCTGATACGAGGGCACACCGCTAAAAATCATTGTGCAGACTACGGTAGATTCGTTAGACCCCCTTGAACCAAAAGGCTTAGTTGTTGGATGTGGGCTCAAATTGTCCTCCATTTACACTTTCTAATTTATTGGAGCCAGGTGTAGCTTCGAAATTGGTTCGCTCAGAGACTACCACTAAAACAGTGAACTAAATAAAAAGTTGTGGTTATTTAGCTTCGAGTCATAAGTTTTATGAGCGAAATCGTTTAATGCAAATTTCTCCAGCTTGTTTCTCTTTTCGTGATCAGATTTCGACGTTGATGAGATCAGCAATGAGCAACAGGGATAGCGACGTAAGTAGTTCACCACAACCAGTGTAGTACTATTGCGAAAATTTCCATCACCTTCGAATTCCCGAGCCATAGTGAACTTTCAGATCTTCAAGGATCTAAGGCCATGTGGTTTATGCATTTTTTGTTTAAGCTGACTCGAACATCAAGGATGAAAAGGTAAGGAGTTCGCTGTTTAATCTCTGCCTTTAGGGATCGTTGTGCACTGGAGAAAATTTGTAGCAGTAAATAAAAAGTTGACATTGTGATTTCGACTACGGCCTCGGCTTAGCTGGGTTCACTGCCGATTTGGGCTCCCCGGATCGGTCCCGTTGACGGGTAGTTGGTGAAGTCACTGATCGATGGAACTGGCTGGGTGACAAGCGAAACGAAGGACCCGCATAATGTGGTGATGAACGCGTTGGCTCCCTGAGAGGATAATAGCGCGTTCGTTACCCACCGCAGACACCTGCGGTCCGCAGTTTTGCAAGTATCTCAGCATCACTGTAAATTTGTAGCACTTACTGAATATTTATTCAGCTTGTGTAGTGATTTTCAGGGTACATCAAAGTGTCACATTCGTGTTTTAATCCTCCAAGAGAAGTTTGGCAATGGTTTGCAAACTCTGCATGTTTCGTTAGCCAGATCCAAAGGTTCGGAATAAGCGACCAAATATGTCGAATTTCACATCTTATCAGTTCATTACAAGCACCAAACCTTATTCCCATCTGAATTGAAGACTCCAGTTCTCACTGAGTAAAGCGTTAAAACTATGCAATAATCATATTTCAAAACCGACTTTCCTTCAACCTCGGTGTGAACAATCAATATGTATTCTTTGTTTGATAAGCTTACACGACGTTGATATACAATCTTTATTCGGCTAACGTTTCGACTTCATTACAGACGATGACCCGAGTCGATGGTCCACCGTTGTTCGTGTTCTCGAGGTGGCATCTTCGTCTTTGTATACTCTATCGTATTTGCTAGTTGATAATGATACCGACTTCTCCGGGATAGATTGTCGGGAAAACAACTTGTGATTGCTCGACAATTACTATCAACAACAAACATCCTGTATAAAACAGCATCACCGGGTGAACATAGCTCATACGAGAGATGCTCCACTGAAGCTCGACACAAAGAGACCACCTCGACAACACGAAGAACTGTTGACCATCGACTCGGATCATCGGCTCTGATGAAGACGAAACCGTTGAAACCTCAACCGAATAAAGATCATATACTAACTTTGTGCAAGTTTATCAGACAACGTACATGATGAAGGCTGTTGAAGTTCACATTACTTACGCAATCATAGAGATTTCTGAATGAATTTTAGGCCATAACCAACTCGATTACTCGATTTACGTCAGAATAGTGACGATCAAAAGGCTTTTACGCAAAATTTTGGCAGATAACTTGTGACAAAACATCTTGTTGAGCATGTTTCTGTGCGCTTTTTCTTAGCAGTAAACCTCGGAAGTGTAAAGGAAGCACACCACATGTTCCCTCCGCCAACAAGAAAGTGGCTAGAACACCGTCTCATCAGTTGTTTTCTACTAATTTACTAAATCTTTGCATCTTGGCTCCAAGTGCCAAGTTTGAAACCTTATCAGAACGATCTCTGTAAACAGTATCGTTGTGCTTTAAACAATTCACTTTCTTTTGATAAGCAGAGATAGACCTATAATATTACGATTTAGTAGGCATTATGAACGACGATATCATAAATATCAGCAGTTACTGACCAATTTTTCAGAAGCATAAATCAACAATAACCAAACAACACACGTTGATCAGTGCGTGAACTCAGTAGGGTTACGGACACAGCACCATTATAGGGTAAAACATTAAGCTATGCTGAAAGGCCCTGTCACAGACAAGCACTAGAACTAGACAGAAAAGTAAAATATCAACCAACATATGCAAAAATAATTATTACTTACTGTTATTTTACACTGGTTTTGTCGTAAAATTTCAGTAAACAACAAATAGATAATTTTTTGAACAACACAAACTTCAGAAAGCATATGACTTCAGGGAGCAATTGGTTCAAACAAGGCATAAACATCTTCAACGATAAATAATTGCTTAGTAACCTAACAAAATCTATGAAACTAATAAGGCATTAAAAAAAGTGGTACCGGATGACTAGAACGTATAGGAAGGCAGTGCATAAGAGGTGGAAATGACGGTACCTCTTTAGGCTTAGGGTAGCTCGGCTCAACCGAATTAGTACTACAAGAATATTTGATGAAGAGTTCTTAGGATTCTACAAGTTAGGAAAACAGCACAAGTACCCGTATACAAAAACAAGTATTAGAGACGAGAATGGCCGATGAACTGCAGGTTTTTGGGAGTAAATGAGACTTAAGAAAAGCAAAAATTTGATTAGAAGTGTGTGATAAGTACGGAAAGAAACGGCTTGTCCGATGAGCCACCAGATTTCTGGGGTTGTACGTCCATGTGCTGCCATTCACCACCTTCACCGGCCTTTAGCGAAAACGACCACTGGCCATCCGGTTCAACTGGACCACAGTGTGGCAGTCGTAATTCGCACGGTGTGAGGAAATTAAGACCTTAGCAAAAAAAAAGGCTTCAGTATAAAGAAAGCAACACGTATAAAAATTCAAAACTGAATAAATGTGTAACAAAAATGTTAAACATAATGGTGAGACTTTCGAGAAGCAAGCAAAGAAACCATAAACATAAACATCGCTCAATAATGTGTTCATTCGAAGGAAAGAATCTAACCTATAAAAAGGAAGATCAAGTGCAGGCAAGAAAATAATTCGGTGGGTTCATGTAATGGTGAAAATGTTAGTAAAAGTCAATATATTAAATTACCTTGCGGTCCGCACATGACCAACGGTGAGAGTAATGTTTCACCTTTTGATTTGTCTATGGGTGGTGAATCACCATCACGGCAGACCTAAAGAAAACTTAAAACTACGTCTGCGAATGCATGCAGTAGGCTTGTTTCATTAATTACTGAATTCAACCCAAGAGTTCAATCGTTTGCTATAAACCTAGGAATCGCCCGTCACAAAAATCATGCATGCCTTAACGTAGATCTCGTGGGTTTCTCCAGCTGGGATGGCGCCTTTCGGAATACGTAACTCGACGCCTGACACAGGACAACTCAGCACACCACCCTCACTGTCGACCACTGCACTCGTCTCTTCAACGATTGTTGGCTCCTGGATCTAAACTCATGAGCTTAAATCAACGATATCTAGTAGCTCTATATTTGTACAGTGATATTTTTATGGAACAGTTGGAACAAAAGCAACTACAAACAAATCCCGACACCCCATCGTATAAGATTTCAAAAAAAAAAACCCGCAAACAACGCACATCCGAAGTAGTCATGACATTGCCAGCACTTTCTCGTCCACTATAACTCGTCGCGTCCTCCTTGCGAGGGCTACGATTTCTACTTGTTTCTACACCTCGCGGCATTTCCGACGTCCGACAATGACCATTGCTATTGCTGCTTGTCGAAGGATTTCCATTAGTAAGACTAAAATAGATGTATACATTTGAATCACAACAGTGAGCATTTTACAGAGAGAACTAAAATACATGAAAAAAGAAATAAACCTATTCACTGCCAATACTGAGAAATAGAGTGCTTCACTCAAACGGTACTACGTTATAAAATAGTATTGTTAAAGCCTTACAGTCCTATAAGCTAGTACTTTTTGAAAACCGATAAAAAAGTATTTCTAGTATGTAACAATTCTCAACAGGGTAACAACTTACTGCTTGTCATTCAAAAAATTATGCCAAAGCTTTTCGCATAACAAACTCAACGTGATACCCTCTACCAAGAGAGTTCACCATAAAATGTCAAGCGAGTTTTTCAAGTGATCAAGCTGACCATGTCACAATTATGAGGCATATGTAGCTTGGAAAGACCAGTTAGTGGTAAAATTACTGAAAATCTGGAAGTTAATGTTCCATTTGTCTTGTAGAATTTTGACGGTTTATTTACAAAATTCTGTGCCTGAGCCCATATTATAAAGCAACTATAAAACGAAACTCGGAACCCCGAGTGACTGTATTTCACGTTAAACCTTGCCATTAAAAAATTGGACAGTAAATGAAAGTTAAACGTTGAATGCCTACACAATAATGGATCGTCTACGTAATGCGCGTCCTAACAAACGAATACGTGGTGGAGTTCTTCAACGTTAGCGCCGTTTATGCAAACGTGTCGAACAACTCCGCTATGCAGGCCATCCTCGAACTCTTCATGCAACACGGAGGAGCAGTGAACATGTATAGATTGTCGATTCAGCAGCCCTTTCTTCTTGAAGGAATGGCTAACGACTCAGATGGTCCGGAAAATATTACGCACAAATTTGAGAATTGGCAATGGGACAGCGACTGGAAGCAAGTCTTACCAGTGCCTTTATGTCTAAGAATGGATCACCAGTAATTGATTGGCGTCTATTATTCTACTACAGATATATAGACGATCGTTTTATCAACTAATCCACACAAGAGGATATGGACAAATGTTTTGAGCTACTGAATGAACAATAAGAGTACATTAAGACCCGAGAGAAACCGGAAGAAAACTGGCTTCCACTTTCGAACGGTCAAACTAACCTATTCTAAAACGGCTACATCATACCGAAAGCCAAGTAGGAAAAAAAACTGGTTCATTGCCTTTTCTCACGCTCCTCATACACAAAAAGGACGCTTGTAAGAAATGTTTCGAACAGCCATCAATGCGTGCACAGAAAGAGACTAGAAGGGTGAATCCTTGAAATTGGCGCAGTTAATTACCATTTCCAATGGCTACGAAATAATAGTGGCTCAGGAAAGGTTTAGACGACAGTGGAAGAATGATTCTCCCAAACAATATGTCTAGCGAGAAAAAGATCCCGTTTATCCTGCCATTAATGTCAAACTAAATAAGCACAAGCCATAAAACGTTACTTAAAAAGCGCCAAAAAAATTGGTAGCAATGACTGAATTATGAATTACCATCGAACACTCTGAGGTGCCAACTAGTTTATAACTGTTTATACGACCGTATATAGACAACACAAAATTGCATAATTTGCTCTAACGATAGAGATGGTAATTGTATGAGTTCGGTGAACGGTTTGTCTGATCTCTTGTGAAGCGTGAGGTGACGAATACATTGGCGAAACGATTAGACCGCTGCTATGTGCCCGCGTAAAGAAACGCCTAAAGAGTAAGCGAAGAGCAGAACGAAATACTTCACTAGTCGCGCAGAGGACAGAGACAGATAACGGAGAAGATTTTGAAGCAAAAGTCACTATCCTCGAACAGGGATCCAAAACATCAGCGCCTAAAACTCTTGAAGCGTTTTGCATAAGTTTCAAAACTCAAGAATGAACCGCAAAGAGGAATGCGGCATTATCATGAGAGATCTCAAACAATATCTGAGACTCAATGTTTTTCATCAATAAGCAGACACGAGGTTGTTAATATAGAATTTATTAGAACACAATTGCTGACGTTTCGG